AAGGAAATCTCCGCCAACAGAGGACCAGATTGCAATCAAAATAGACATGGCTGCAGCGAGGAAAAGACAGTCTTGTGCATATGAAAACCCAGATCAAACGGCAGCCAGGAGAGCTTCCGATGCTGAGAATATGCAAAGACATAGGGACTCTCAATCTCCTGAACAAGATGAAGGCACAATCAAGAGTCCTCCACAGGAGCTAGGTTAAATGCTGCCTGATAGGAAAGCTTTTAAGCTAGTATATATATATATATATATATATATATATATATATATATATATATATATATAAAATTAATTAGTAATTGTAATATATATATATATATATATATATATAGATATAGATATAGATATGTGTGTGTGTGTGTGTGTGTGTGTGTCTGTGTGTGTGTTGAGGGGTCCACCCCTTTTTACACAAAGGGACTCACCCAGTATATACATATACTACGGTTACGGGAAGACCCGAGGGAGAAAGACCGAAGAGTCGAGTCGAGTCCCGAGTGACAGAGTAAAAGGTTGTAGGTAACCGGAAGAGTGAGGGTGAGGTAACAGCGTTGTAGGCGTCACAGTGAGCGAGCACGTAGACTCAGTAAGAAGTCATACAGTGATACTTCAATACCAAAGACTGTATAGATATTTTGCTACTAACCCGTATTCCTGGAACTACTAACCTGCTTTACCAGTTTGTATTATTACGTTAATACATTATTTTCATATATTCATTCCTGGCGTTTGTTATTTATTGGTACCGGATTTCAACCCGGAATCCACAACAATATAGATAGATAGATAGATGTATATTTTACGGTCATATAAGAACAGTCAATTAGTAAATGAACGAGAGAACGTGAGCGACAAAGAGGAAATATAGAGAGAAAGAGATAAAGAGAGAGAAATAGAAAGAGAGGGAGAGTGAGAGACAGAGACTTATAAGAAGGAGATATTCTTGGTTTGTTTATTGCTCGATATGGAGAAGTTGTGTCCTCAATACATCATTTTCTGTTTTTCTTCCTGCCGTTTCCAACGAAAGGCGTAGTGACGTTTTAGCAGTTGGGGTGTGGACGTCTGCCTTCCAATACGTTTCGAAAAATAACCAACTACAAAGTAGGCTTTTTAAGGCTAAAACAATCCTCTGTCTCTCTCCATATATATATATATATATATATATATATATATATATATATATATTATGCGTTCGAGTGGTTGGGACGGAAATGGGGAAAGACGCAAAATGTGTTTATATATGAGAAAATGTTTATGTGTATTTACGTGTGATAAAGAAAGGCGGTGGTTGAGTTCAGTTGTTGATTGATTGAGTGCAAAAGAGGAGGAGGGGGAGCGAGATAAAGACATGGAAAGAATACAAGACGATGAGAACAGAGGAGGGGGAGAGGGACTTGGAAGTCGTATTTAGAAATCAAGGAATGGACGTCATGAAAGCATAAAAAGGGGAAAAAAGCGGGAGATGAAGAGAAGTGTGAGAAATCGAGGAAAAGTCAAAGACCACCCGAGTACAGAAAAATGTAGATAAAGATCAAAAGAGAGAGAGAGAGAGAGAGAGACAGAGAGAGAGAGAGAGAGAGAGAGAGAGAGAGAGATTTGTTAGAGGGACAGAGAAAGAAAGATATGGTTATATGGAAAAGGAAGAGAGATAGATAGATAGATAAAGGATGTCATAAAGATAGGAAAAGAGAAAACGAGACATAACGATATATAGAGAGAAAGGGAGATATATCCACAGAGAGAAAGAGATACTGCGACAGACAGACAGACAGATAGATAGGTAGACAGACATACAGACAGACAGACAGACAGACAGACAGATAGATAGATAGATAGATAGAGAAAGAGAGAGAGAGAGAGAGAGAGAGAGAGCGAGAGCAATAGAGATAAAGAAAAAGTAAGATCTAATGAAAAAGAGAAATATCGTTACATAGAGAAAGAATGATATGAAAAAGATATATATATATATATATATATATAATATATATTATTAAACTTCTGAATAATAATAATCTATTAAATAATAGACACGAGTTAACGATTTTTGTAGGCATCATCAGATTTTTGGTTTGAAATAAAAATTTTTTTATATAACTTGTTTAACAAATAACCCAATCATCAGATTCATAGTAGAAATTATTAACTACAAACTTGCATACAAAATAACACCCTTCATAATCCATAGCCCAAATTAGTAGTTTAAACACCTTACATAAAAGATGACCCTTTATGAAGTCGTCAAAAAACAAACGTTACGAAAGTCTTTCTTTTTATATGCACCATTCCCTTTCATAATAAAATAAAATAAAATAAAATAAATAAATCTCCATAGACAAGCCAACTTGACGAAAGCTTAATACATCTTCGTTTCATTTTGACACCCTCACCTTCCCCCGACTTGACACCTTGAAAGTATCTCTATACCGCTACTTATCATTAACACCCTACACTCGCCTACCCATTTTAGACAATTCGCCCTAGCTGTTACCATGGTGATTTTGATTTCAATTTTTAAAACAAGTAAATTTCAGATATACGTTATTCCAACAAAAAATTTCGCTTGAAGATGGAACGGAGCCCTTTTTAATTTCAACTCAATTTAATTTAAAAGGTATTGAAGTTTTCGGCTCTTGTTTTTGAAACATGAGACCTCTTATGTAGCGATTTGGAATCATATTTTAAATAAATAATTATATTTATGCTCTACTTTTGTATCGAGCACTATTTTAAAAATAATAACTAAAATACTAAGGAACTTTGGACTATTTACCTAACCAGTTCCTTCCTATTTTCCATATATCTTCACACACACACACACACACACACACACACACACACACACACACACACACACACACACACACATATATATATATATATATATATACTGGCTTAAAAGCCGTCCTATCAAGCAGCATTTAAGCTAGATCCTGCGTAGGGCTCTTGATTAGTAGATGCGAAAGGCAAAATAAATTACAGAAGAACTCAAAATTGGTCTCTGCTTTTAAGTATTGCAATCATATTTAAGCTTACCTTTTAAAAGTTTAACGATACTTCTACCGGCATCTAATTTAAAGACATTTTGATGTACGTAGGTCCTTACTTTCTGTACAAACAATTATTTTTATTTCATGGGTGACTTTCGCCGGATTTCGCAATTAATTTCCATTTTACCCAAATTTATTTTCAAGCTGTAAAAATTGTAATCGTACAAAAAAATTTATCGCAAAATATCACGTAAAAAATCGCCGAAAACAATGGCAGTAATGAAAACTTGGGAATCCAAAATTTCAGAATTGCAGTTTCAGATCCAGTTCGGAATGTTTTTAATTTGCTCACCGAGTCGGCCTGATTCCAAAATGGTATGATATGTTGGTCTACGGCCTCTAGGAGTAAAGTTGAAAACACGGACACTTTCATTTTGAAACACTGTAATTTGAGAACAGTATTTTTTCATTTCAATATGAGCTAGTGAAAGTTAAAGAGTTGTGTCCCTTTAATTGTTTTTTTTATCAGTAGAAGCTAAGATGGCGGAATCTGAAAACAATGGCAGTAATGAAAACTTGGGAATCCAAAATTTTAGGATTGCAGGTCCGGGCCTGAATATTTTAATTTGTTCACGGAGCTAACCTGATTCCAAAATGGTATGATATGTTGAACTACGGCCTCTAGGAGTACAGTGGACACACTGACATTCGCATTATTTATATATATATATATATATATATATATATATTATTTATATATATATATATATATATATATATATATATATATATATATATATATATATATTCTGCTTATTTCAAACAGTATTTATTCCATCTGCCGGTCTGCGTATCCAAGAAAACTTAATAAAGAAAATGTATTCTCCGGCTGGATTTGAACTTGTGTTCCTCCTTTGCAAGAGGAATACACCGTTTAATCTGTCGCGTTTTTACCACTCGGCTCTGAAGAGCTTCACGGTGTAATTGATGTAATAAAAGTATGTCAGGTTAAAAAGTAAAATCCATGAATTCTTTAAAAATTGCTTTGTTTGTATAAGAAACTGGACAGATATGTGGTTCAAGAACAATCTGAATGAGTGAGTATGCTTTAAAGACAAAATATGACCTTGCTTTATTGTGAAACTCTTCGTAGCCGAGCGGAGAAAGCACGCCGGGTCAGACGGTGGTCCCTCCTGCAAAAAAGGGGGCGCGTGTTCGAATCGAATCCTGCTGTAGGGTACATTTTCTTCATTAGGTTTTCTCGTGTACGCAGACCGGTCGACGAAATAAATAGTTTAAAATAAACTCAAATATGTGTTTCCAATGAAGAAGGTGGAAAATACAGTAAAGAAAAAGGTGAAGAAAGAGAGAGGCGGAAGGAGATAGATAGATAGATAGATTGAGTTAAAGTTTGTTAGACAGAAAGAGAGAGAGAGAGAGAGAGAGAGAAGCAGAAGAAAGAGAGAAAAAGAGTTTTATACAAAAGTAAAAAAAAAAAAGTTAAAGAAAGTTGAAAAAGAAGAGACATGGAACGTGGAACTAGAACAATCTACCCCGATGGACGAAATAAAGGGTTCCGTTCAAAATTTCAATCACCTGAAGAAGGGCGAGGCGTACAACGGCCGAAACATCGTGAACATGACAATGGAGATGAGGATAACAGTTCGAACCATGTGAATAATGTACATAATTACAATACCTCATCTCAGAAAGATGGACAGATAAGAAAGTTGAAATATAGGAGATATTTTATTAAGAGCTACAAAGGACAAGAAATTTTGAAGAGACATGATCGCCAACGTCCTCAAGAGACGCGGCACAATGAAGAAGAAGAAGAAGAAGAAGAAGAAGAAGAAGAAGAAGAAGAAGGTCGTCTAAACTTAATATTATCTTGTTACAATCATTAGGATAAACCCATTAATGACCACTATCCCATTTTTTGGAACGCTACACAGTGATGGCTTATAGGTAGAAAAACTATAATTATAATGATCAGTTTTTAAAAATTTTTGGTACCGAATTTTTTTTTTAATTTTGATATTTAATACGGGATTGTATATTTATTTTTATAATTAATACGACATTTTTTATTTTAATTTTTATAATTAATACCTGATTATTATTTTAATTTTTATAATTAATATCGAATTTTTATTTTTATAATTAATACCAGATTTCTATTGTTTTTATAATTACTACCATATTTTCTTTTTACAATTAATATCAGATTTTTATTTCTGTAATTAATACCGGATTATTATTTTCATTTTTATAATTAATACTGGTTATTTTTTTTTATTTTCGTTATTAGATACAGAATTTTTATTAAAATTTTTATAATTAATACCAGATTTTTATTTTAAATTTTATAATTAATATCGGATTTTTATTTTAAATTTTATAATTAATACCTTATTTTTATTTTAAATTTTATAATTAGTACCGGATATTTTTTTATTTTTATTATTAAATACAGAAGTTTATTTAAATTTTTATAATTAATACCAGATTTTTATTTTAAATTTTATAATTAATATCGGATTTTTATTTTAAATTTTATAATTAATACCTGATTATTATTTTTATTTTTATAATTAATACCGGATTTTTTTTATTTTTATTATTAAATACAGAATTTTTATTAAAATTTTTATAATTAATACCAGATTTTTATTTAAATGTTTATAATTAATACTTGAATTTTATTTTTATAATTAATAACGGATTTTTATTGTTAGTTTCTAAAAAAGTTAATACCTGAATTTTATATTTGTTTTTATAATTAATAACAGATTTGATGAGAAAATTGATCGATGACAGACAGTATTCTGATAGACGTTTTGTAAGCTTTAAAAAAAATCATATGTATTTCACTTTATTCTGAACTTTTATCTTTAAGGTGTTTTCTTCTCATGTCCTTAACGCCCTTTTAGCTTCACTTAGACAATATGTAGATTGATGGAGAAAGAGAAAGAGAGAGAGAAAAAAGGAGAAAACGAAGATCAGTAAAAAGAGGAGAAATAACGGGAATGAATGACAGCGGATAAAAAAGTACGAAATGTTAAGAAAAAGAATCGGAAGAAAAGCAGAGAATACGTGATGACAGGCATGGCCGCGTATAATAGAGAAAAGGGAGGTAAAGGAAAGAAAGAAAGAAAGAAAGAAAGAAAGAAAGAAAGAAAGAAAGAAAGAAAGAGAAAGAAATGGAAGACGAATAGTTAGGAAAAGTGAGTGAAAGATAAATAGCTCAAAGGAGAGTGGGATGTTTATATAAGAAAGAGAGAATGTGGCCGCTCACAAACATACGAAAAAGATTAAGTTGTTTAAAGGTATTAAGATAACGATGGTGGGGGTGGCGGTCGGTTAGGAGAGAATAAACGATATTGAAGATACGGATTTACAAGGCACAATGATGGAGAATTACACAAGTGAGAGAGGGGGAAGAGCAAGAGAAGAGAGAAGAAAGAAGTTGAAGGTAAAGTGATATAAATGTTAAGAGAGAGAGAGAGAGAGAGAGAGAGAGAGAGAGAGCAGAGAAGTAATAGTCAAACTAACAGAGAGAAGAAAAAGAGAGATTGAAAGATAAAGGGGCCGATGAAAAAAAAAACAAAAAAACAAACAGACGTATACTAGGGAGAAGTAAGTGACAGACTGATATAGAAGAAAAGCAAAAGACAGACTGATGGGGTCGCGGGGCGGGGGAGAAGAAAAAGAGAGACTGATAGAGAGAAGAAGCAAAAGACAGACTGATATATAAAGCGAAGTAAAAAAAAAGAGATTGGTAAATAGCGTCTGGCGGATAGAGGGGAAAAGTAAGAGACAGACTGACATATAGAGGGGAGAAGAAAAGAGATGATGCTGATAGATAGAGAGGAGAAGAGAAAAAGAGACTGAACGATAGAGCAAAGTAAAAGAGCGTCTGGTACATAAAAGGGAGAAGCAAGAGACACACTGACAGATAAAAGGGGAGAAGAAAAAAAAAGACTGACAGATAGAGCGAAGTAAAAGAGATATTGTTAGATAAAGAGGAGAAGCAAAAGACATACTGACTAATAGAGGGGAGAAACAAGAGAGTGACTGATAGAGAGGGAAGTAAGCGACAAACTAACAAATAGAGAGGAGAAGCAAAATAGAGATTGATAGATAAAAGGGAGAAGTAAAAGACAGACCGACAGAGAGAGGGAAGAAGTAAGAGACAAACTGACAAATAGAGGGATGAACAAAAGAGAGACTATTAGAGGGGAGAGTAAGCGAAAATCTGATAGATAGAGAGAAGCAAAAGAGATACTAAGAAGCAAGAGACAGACTAAGAGAGAGAGAGGGAGAGAGAGAATGAGGGAGAGAGAGAATGAGGGAGAGGAGAAGTAAGAGACAAAGTAACAGATAGAGAGGAGAAGGAAAAGAGAGATTGATGGATAGTGAGGCTTTGCGAAAAACAGATTAACAGATAGAAGAGAAGCAAAAGACAGACTGATAGAGGGGAGAAGAAAAGAGAGTGATAGATAGAGAGAAGAAACAAAAGAAAGAGTGATAGATAGAGAGAAGAAGAAAAAGAGAGAATGATAGAGGGGAGAAGCAAAAGACAGAGATTGATATATAGAGCAAAATAAAGGAGAGATTGATAAATAGAGGGAAAAGTAAACAATAAATAGAGGGAGCGTAGATAGAGAGGAGAAGTAAAAGATAAATTGGCAGATAGAGGGGAGAAGAAAAGAGACGCTGATAGATAGAGAGGAGAAGAAAAAGAGAGACCGGCAGAGCGAAGTAAAAGAGTGATTGATAGGGAAAAAGGAAAAAGGAAAAAGGAAAAGATAGACTGTAAGATATGGGGGAGAAGTAAGCGACACACTGACAGATAAAGAGGAGAAGCAAAAGAGACACTGATAGATAGAGGGGCGAAACAAACGACAGACTGACAGAGAAAAGAGAGGAGTAAGAGAAAAACGGACAGATAAAGTGGAGACGAAATGAGAGACTGCTATATAGAGGGGAGATACAAAAAACAGACTGACACATAGAAAGGAGAAGTAAGAGACAGACAGATAGAGGGAAGAAGCAAAACCAGACAGGAGAGAGGAAGACTGACATATTAATAAAATGAGAGAGAGAGAGAGAGAGAGAGAGAGAGAGAGAGGGGCAAAGAAACTGAAGGCGGTTGGATATAAAACGCAAAGATATACACGAAGTCAAATTTTATTATGGAAACCCGTACCGTCAAAAATAAAGGCTAATTTTTTTATCCGGCGCAGTTATGTTGATAATTGGCTTCAGTGAACGGAAGATTATTTACTCTATGAACTTTGTTTTGTGCATTTCTTGAATTTCTCATGGCGCCAGTATTCTCATTTCATCTATCTTACTCTTCTGTTTCTTGTCGAAGACGTGCTCCCATTTGCATTCTCATATTTTCTCATCTTACGTTAGCTGCAACCTCTATTTAATCTTGTCTTCTTTGCGCTGCTCTCTCTCTCTCTTCCTCTCTCATATCCGCTCTCTCTCTCTTCCTCTCGTAGATCTGCCCACTCACTCGTAAATCTGCTCTATTTCTCTCGCAGATCTGCTTTCTCTTTATTACCTTTCTTCCCTATTACCTTCTGTCTCATTAGTTCGTATCTGAGCCTCGAGTCTTCTGGCTTGTGCTCATTGCTCCTCGGCGTTCCTGCAATGTCCCGTCATGCCTATATCTGATCTTTCTTTCTTTCTTTCTTTTTATGTGCCGTGTCTTTTCAGGACATAGGCGATCATGGCCTTCCACTCCCCCTCCCCATCCCTTGTGGCTCTCAACAAGTTTTGTGTTTCTGCCAACTCTCCCAGACCACGCTCCACTATCAACCTGCCCAAGCCCGCCACATATGTTATGAGCTGCTTTCCCCTGTCTCTTTTTCCCCTCTATTCGTCCTGTGAGTATCAGATTCTCCAGGCCCTCCTTTCTCATCATGTGTTCCAGAAATTTCATTTGTCTCTTCCTTATGTTAAGCATAAGCTTCTTTCTTGTTTGCATCCTTTCCAAGACCTCATCGTTTCTCACATGCTCGGTCCTTGGTATCCTCATCATCCTTCTGCAGAACTACATCTCCGCCGCCTCGTTTTTTTCTTCATCCTTGAGGATACCGTCCAACATTCGCTGCCGTATATGAGGACAGATGTCACGTAGCAGCTCAGTACTCTTTTCTTTGTCACCAAAGAAATCCTCCTGTTTCGCAGTACTCTGCCTAGCTTTTGGAATGCATCCTTGGCCATCCCAATCCTTCTTCGGATCTCAGGGTCGCACCTACCGCCCTCCGTCAAAACACTTCCCAGATGTTTAAACTTCCGTACCTGCTTTTAGTGTCCCCGACCTGCAAATCGCATTTTGAGCTCATCCTTTTACTGTTGACGATGTATTCTGTCTTCTTGTAGGTTATAGTTAGTCCTTTCTTCTTGCTCTCCCTCGCTACCTTCTGTAGGAGGTTTTGTATTTTCTTTTCCGTGTCTGCTATCAGTATCGTGTCATCTGCATATCTTAAGGCTGTGGCCGCCAATGACGAATCTTGGTAGGATCTCCAGTTCACACAGAATTACCTCGCTGTATTGGTTGAATAAGTCCGGTGTCTGGTTTCTGGTTTTGTGCATTCGCTGAGCTGATTTGTTGCCAGTCGTCGTCGTTCTGATACTCTCCTTTTTCTGCAAGGGAATTTTCCATTTCATGGGATAAAGTTTTCTTAAATGCGTAAAACAATATAAAACATAAAGAATTATTGCTATTTAGTTTGACGTTTGCAGAGGAAATTCGTGTTGAATCTTGGATATTAATGCAAAACTTGTACAGAAAATGTCACATAGAAAATTTTCTCAGCAGTGGGAGTGGAATGAACAAAGCCGTAGGCTCGAAATAAATGTTTTTTTTTTAATTTCTGTCTGTAAGAGAGTGCAATATTTTATCTCTGGCTGAAAGAGAGTGCAATATTTTATCTCTGGCTGAAAGAGAGTGCAATATTTTATCTCTGGCTGAAAGAGAGTGCAATATTTTATAAAGGAGGAGGATTTCAAAACGCGTCAGCGTCTTGCAACAAATACTTATTTAATAAAAATGCAATATTATTATTTTTTTTTGCATATCTTTTCTTTAAGTTTTTATATTTCATCGATTGGTTTGTGAAATTAAACTAAATGTAGAGTCTGTAAGCATCGGCCAAAATGTTAGCGTTAAATTCAAAAAATACTAAATGTTGTGTGGATTTCAAAACGCGTCAGCGTGTTGCAAAAAATTCTTGTCTTTGATAAAAGTTTAATACGTAAGAAAAGTGGATTGGCCAGTCCAAAGATATTTAAAGAAAGTTCAGTTGCTCGGTTTTATGTGTTAACACTTGCTAGGCTATTTCATAACGAATGTTGTTTGGGAACATTTAGTCGGGATTGAACTCTCTACGAACGATCAAGCAACCTTTACGCTACGCAGCGAAAGTAAACAGCGAGTAAAGAAAGATTCAGAACATTGACTAAAAGCATGAAAGCAACGAAGCTGCCATATTCAAGCAAACATAAACAAAACGAAGCAATTGAGCAAAGAAATAAATGGAAACTGATATATCATTAATTTTTCGTGATGACAATATGGCGGCATTGAATGGACACGATGACTAAATTAGATGTTGGGGTTCTTCATGGAAATAGTCAGCCGACACGAGTTAGAAGAAAGCAGTGGCAATGTGAAGAAATGGTTTGGGATTACATTGTATTTAGTAAAATTATAGATCTCTACAGATTTGTTTCTGGTATCAAGATAAATGCACAGAATTATTGCAAGTTCTTGGTCAAGACGTTTTTTTTTTGAGTGATACTAATCTCAACCAAGAATGATAATGGCATCCGTGAAGTTAGTCGTTTTGGAGGCACGGTAGAGTATTGGATTGCGATTCGGTCTGATGAATCGGAGAGCCGAGTCCAAATTTCGATCGAGTTCATTACATTCATTTACGCGCTAATACCCTTGGGAAAGTATAATTTCAACCTTTCTTCCCCCCCCTCAGCTATGGGTAAATAGTAAGATAGACTGGGTTCTATAGCTTTGGGCGGCAACCGGTCTAGGTGAAGGAATAAAAACTGTATGTAGACTTAGCGAAGCACATCCTAAGCAAAGAATGACTACAGTCGACTCCTTTTATACATGATACATTCATTGTTTGTCGGTTGAAGTTTATAAAATCTTTTTCTTAAAACAGTTTTTTTAGGAAATTAAACTTGTCTGTGATCGCTCTTTCCGATAATTAAAGAGTTTCCTTTCAAACAAGATATTGTGGAAGTTTAATATCGTGATTATAGGACTATTTTCTTTTCTAATTTCATTTTATATCCATGTTTTGTTTCTGCTGTTGGAAGCCTTCAAGTGATATGATCTTTATTCGTTAAGGCTCTTTGGGGTTTTTCAGCACTAATCTATAGGGTCTGACGAGGAATTGTCTCGCAAAGCTATTCTTAGCCATTGATCTGAGAAAACGGTCATATATAAAAATAGTTTAGATATTTCGGAACGAGGTGGACATCATGAATGATATCCATATAAGTGTCCAGATCTGATGAGAATATTTGAAAGCATAATTCGAGTTTTCGGGTTTTGTCGCATTTTACGCTACTGGACAAAAGTACATCTGATGCAACCTAACCCGTGTTAAATTTTCTTATTTTCTATATTAAATTTGTTATAGCTGATCCAAACACAGAGTCATTTGAAATGTTTATAATTTACTAATTCCACATTCTGAATTTTAAAGATGGATTCAGGGTATCTACCATCATTACTCTCAATCAAATTTCAGGTCATAGTTTCTGTTTTGGAAAGGTTTCTCCTTTTCATTCTGAAAAGCTGATCATTGCCTACCTTGCCACAAATGTTACAGAAGTATCAGGTTAAGATTCTTAGCATTTCCAGATATTAATCCAACAGAAAATTTATGGTTCATCATTAAAAGGGTTGTATATAAGAATGGGACCCAATATTCAAGCAAGGATCTCTGAAAAGAAGGAAAAACAGTTGAAAGTAACGTTCAAGTTTAAACAGTAAAAAAAAAAATGAACAAACTCAATGAACGAAAGACTGATGAATATTATAGAATGTCAAGGAACCCAGGTAAGATAATTTATTATTTTATTTTAGAAAATTATGGTAAAATTATTTATACGCCAAGATAAAATTATTTATTATAGGATGTTAACATAAAAATTATTTATACGCCAAGATAAAATTATTTATTATAGAATGTTAACATAAAACTTATTTATACGCCAAGATAAAATTATTTATTATAGGATGTTAACATAAAAATTATTTATACGCCTAGATAAAATTATTTATTATAGAATGTTAACATAAAAATTATTTATACGCAAGATGAATTTATTTATTATAGAATGCTAACATAAAAATTATTTATACGCCAAGATAAAATTATTTATTCTAGAATGTTAACATAAAAATTATATATACGCCAAGATAAAATTATTTATTATAGAATGCTAACATAAAATTATTACAGAGTAAGGTAAATTATTTATATAGAATTTTAAGCTAAAATAATTTATTTTAATATAGGAAAGTAATGCGATTTTTTATTGTAAAAGTTTTCTCGTCAATGCCTTTTTCAATGGACCAAAGAGAAGAAAGTAAGGATGCTAAGTCAGGTGGTGATGAAGAAGTGAAAACTGGTGTAAGGAATTGGTTACATCAGTAGCCAGCTAAGTTTTACGAAGCAGGGATTCATGCCCTCGTTCGTAGGTGAAACTCTGTAACCATTGAAAGGTGCTTATGTTGAGAAGTAGGGATGTGAACTTGTCAAGTACATCTATATCTTGATGTATGATATGTTTCATTGCGTTCCTTATTTCTTATATCAGTTATGTGCCATGCGTCATACACGCTTAGGCGATCATGTATCTTTCGATACATGACTGACGAGACAGATTTTTTTTTTCGCAGTAGATTGCCATTTTCTTCTGTGGTAGACCAGTTGCCATCAAAGGTTATTTAACCCGGTCTGTCCAGCTATTTACCCATAGTGTGCTTGATTAAATGTACAGTCAGTCAGTTATGTGCCATGCGTGATACACGCTTAGGCGATTATGTATCTTTCGATACATGACTGACGCGGCAGATTTTTTCCCGCAGTAGGTTGCCATTTCTTTCTGCGATAAACCAGTTGCCATCCAAGGCTATAGAACCCATTCTGTCCTGCTATTTACCCATAGCTGGGTGGGGAGAAGAAGTGAATTCATACCTATCATACCTGGAGTTCGAATTTGGCTCTCCGATTCCTCAATCCGAGCTGCTAACCATTACTCTTCCGTGCCTTACATAATAAATCAAATTTCATTACTTTCTGGCTCACACTCGTAATTTATTCTGGTATATGGAATACTTTTTTTAATCAATTATGTTCATGTGACACCGAGATCCGAACACGATTTGCACTAGCGAAAGGAGCATTCCAAAAGCTAAGCATGGTTCAGAAAAACGGAAAAAAATAATTCGTTAAGCACAAAGAAATGAATGCTGGATTGCTTATGTGATATTCATCCTATCATAACGATTTTCCAAGCGTAGCTAAGATGAGGCACAAAGCCGAAATTAGGGTCACCCAGTGAGGATCGTACTCACTACTCAGTCGTAATTGTTCTAGCGAAACAAGCTTGCTTGCTAACCATTACACCGCCTCGAGGAGCCCCATCCATCCTAATATATGGCAGTGAATGCTGAACGATCTTCACACGTACGAGGAAAAAAATTAGAGGAAACAGAAATGTGCTTCTACAGAAGGATACTGTGAATTCGATCGATGATGCAAGTAAGCAACAAGGAAGTCTTAAATAAAATGACAGCAGAAAGAACACTTCTACTCAGAATCAGGAAAAGGTAGCTGAAATTCTTGGACACATAATAAGGATGGAGGTCTTGGAAAACTTTAACTTCACGGTGCATATTGAGTGCAAGAGACATAGGGAAGGCAGCGAGCAACCCGTCTCTCGAGCTTGTTTGATCGATGGTGGAACGGGTTGGGAGCCCTAACAAAAAACATATATATATATATATATATATATATATATATATATATATATATATATATATATATATATATGCGTGTGTGCGCAATATGCAGAAAAATAGGAAGGAACACGTCAGGTAAATAATCCGGTGTTCCTTAGTATTTTTGTTTTTATTTTTAAGAAGACAGTCCTCCATACATAAGTAGAACTTATATTATAATATTTTTAAAAAAAAGCTAATGGTGGCGGTCGCCGTAAAAAAAAAAATAATACATAAATAAATTAATTCCATAGTTTAATAAAAGTCTTAAAAGCTTAGCCAAATCATTAAATAGAAAAAAACCCCTTTGTGAAGTCGTCAAAAAACAAATTGTAGTTTAGTGCAACACGTTTGTATATGGAACAGCCATTAGAATAAACAAATAAATAAAGAGATTAACAAATAGATGATCTCTCGACACTTAACGACCTGCCGTCGAGCCATGAAATTTCTTCGGCTGTAAACTAACTAGACGGCGACCGCCACCATTAGCTTTGAAATAGATACCTCACTCTACTTTGGTATAACCTTTCCGAAGGTGACGAATCTGTAGATAAGAATTAACAATCTGACCACCTAACCAAGATGGCAGGCCTAGCCGTTTCCATAATAATTAATGTTGCAATGGGCCATACTTATAAACACGCGCAAACCACAAGATAACTTCCTAAATTTTCGCTTGAAGATGAAAGGGGACCCAACACCTTGATTCAACTTAATTTTAATAATTATATTGATGGTTTCGGCTCTCGTTTTTGAAACATGAGAACTCTTATGTAGCGAAGGAATCATATTTTTAGAAAAATATTATTATTTTTTTTTTTAAGCATTTCACCCCAAGCAAGGCGGGAAGCCACTAGGACGCAAGGGGTTACAGGAAATAGCAAGATCAGATAGGAGTGATAGAAGAAAGGATGAGGGTAGTAGATAGATTAAGGCAACTGGAGATCTCGATTGACATTACACTTGAATAGCTGGAGATTATAGCTCACAGGGAAACATAATATATATATATATATATATATATATATATATATATATATATATATATATATATATATATATATATATATATATATCCAGAGACGGATAGGCAATGTGATTGGCCCTGATCTGTCATCTCGTTTATAGTCACCTTCTCAGAGATGTGCCGGCACTTCCTTCTGTCTTTCCTAAAAATACTTTCATGGTAACTGCTCCGACGAGTTACTTTTGCTTCAATTATTCAAATGCAATGTCAGTCGACATCTCCAGCTGTCTTGATCCAATTACCCACCCTTCTCTTCATTCTTTCCTCTATCACGCCTCTTTACTCTTGCTTCCACTCTCTGTAATCCCTTGCGTGCTAGTGGCATCCCGCCTTGCTTAGGGTGAAAAGCTTAAATATATAACGGCGAGACGGTGTATTTACGAAACGTCAAGTCGGAAGATAAGTGGTTATATTTTTACTTACTATTAACTATACATCCTCTTTACTTACTATATATATATATATATATATATATATATATATATATATATATATATATATGGAGAGAGAGGGAGAGAGAAAGGAAGATAGAAGGCGGTAGCAAATAAAACAGAATGCAAATTGATAATAAAATGCAAAGTGAGAGGGAGAGGGAGAGAGTGCGTATGATGGTGTAAGAGTGAGTGAGCTACATAAAGAGAACCGGAAACATAGAGAGACAGAAGAAGAAAAAGAGAAGAAATAGCACCCATAGAGTTTTATAAAAGACAAAGATAGAGAGCTACGTATAGAAAGAAAGAAAGAAGGAGAGAGAGAGAGAGTGTGTGTGAGAGAGAGAGAGTGAGTAGAGCGTGATGGAGAGAAATAGAAAGGGGACTGGTCTGAAGAAGAAGAAGAAGAAGAAGAAGAAGAAGAAGAAGAAGAAGAAGAAGAAAGTTAGAAAGAAGCTAAAGAAATGGTAAAAGGAATAGGAGTGTACGCGTGTTATTTAGCCTTTTGCCATCTGCCACCGATTATGGTCCTTCTCGGCGACATCAAAGAAAGCGAAACGATGACAAATAGACCAACAGATTGTGGGTTGATGACGTTCAGTCTTTTACCACCGCGTCGTGTCCGGGTGATGACGGAAGCGTCCGATTTCATTGATTGTCTCGAATTCAAGCCAATTAAATCGCCCCATTGCTTGATGAGAAGCCATACCAAACACTCTTGTCTGTCCTCCCGTGCTTTGGGCGTTCCGTTTAGCGGCTACGAGGTTCAAGTTGAGACAAACCAAATAAGCAAAGACGAAGGAAAGGTTCCCAAAGTTTACCTATTTTGGAGAAAGGAATCTGAATTTTGCCAGCCATCAGACTTGCCCACAACTGCACCCATTTCTTTCCTTCTCTAAATCTCTCTCTTTCTCTCACTCTCTCTCTCTCTTTCGCTGTTTTTGCTCTGCTTCACCCTCAATTTTGTTACAACTGTAACGAGCATCGGTGCAACTTCGTATGCGCACGCGCATGCGTGTGAACGAACGAGAGAAAAACATTAGCATTATAAGAGAAAAAAAATGGCTACGGACTAAGAGAATTTTGAATTTTATCGATGTAACATTGTCATCTTTATTATTTTCTATTTCTTATTTATTTTTTCTTTGTTGTTTCTTTCAACCTAGTGAAAGCAGTCGTCTTTTATTGCTAAATATTCGCCCAATGCAAGGGGCAAGAACAACTCAATGTAGAGGCTTATTAAATGAAGTTGTTGTATGAACGTAGGAGCGGGAAAAATGATGAGATATTTTTGCCAATTTCCAATTTCATAAAGTCTAAGTTCCATAGAGAATGGCTCACCCAAACAATTACCATGAAAGTATTTATAGAAAAGGCACAGGAATGCTACATTAAGGCAGTGGTTTAGTGACCGAAGCCGGGATGCCAGGTCAGGGCATAAAATGTAGTATGTTTCTGATTCTAGATTAAAGAATAAACTTTGCACTCAATACCAGACCAGGCTTTCAAAGGAGCCATGTGTAAGATTGACATGAGTTAAATTCCTGGCTGCTGATTGCAGAATCACGTGACCACTCACCTGCATCTGGGTTGTAAGCGTGGAAAGGAACTACATAACAGAAATAAATATATAGACACGCACCCCAGCGGTGAATGGGCAGTCTCTTAGACATCGCAGACAAGAATGTAAGGTCAAACATTCGGATGAATCCGATTTCGCACGCGCACTCGGGTGCGCGCACACACACGTACACAATATTAATTTCCATGTTAAAATACCTTAAAATAATAACTGGTGTCTAATGCTAAACTTAGAGATAAAATCTGGGGAAACGAATTGCTTAGCGTCCAGTTTCGAACCATTAATTTGAATAAAATAATATTGATAAACGAAGCCGAAAAAAATTGTTTCAAATACTTTGACTTTCGCAGCCATTTGCTGGACTAGTCTGTCACAGAACTTCTGCGACCGATAGGTAGCTTTGCCAAAAAGCAATGTAAAAGAAAAAGGTGAAAACTCTTTCCTTTTTTTTTTTTTCTCTCTCTCTCTCTTTTGTTACAGGATGCTGTAGAGACAAAACGCATCTCGCGGGGGAATTCTTTGCCCTTAGCGAACCACGAGTCGTTTAGAGAACTTCCCTCGACACACATCGTCATCTAGGCTTGACTTTATCACCAAGGCCCTCAAGTCGATATCCTGCAAAAAAGTTGAATGATATTGACTATGCTGATGACCAGGCTATCACTACTGACACAATTACTAATGCCACAATTCTCCTACATCATCTAGAAAATGCTAACAACGATATTGGACTCTATGTCAATGGCACTAAAACTGAATTCATAAACTTCAACCAGCAAGGCTCAATATAAATTGTCTCGGATGAATCAATAAAATATATCGAATCTTTTTCAAACCTAGGAAGCGAAATAAATTCTACTGAAAAGGATGTGAAATTTCGCATAGCTGAAGCCTGGGCCGCCTTGAATAAAATGGATATCATCTAGAAATTTGATCTACTAGATAACCTCGAGGATACTTTCGAGCCACTGTAGAGATGGTGTATAGTGGTATATGGTGGTGTGAAGGTATGGTGCCGCTGTTTGGACATTAACTAAAACCATAGAGTCTAAACTTGATGGAATTTGTACTCGGATGCTGAGAGCTATACTTAAAATATCTTTGAGACAGCATCCAAATAAATGGTAGCTCTATGGACCCATCTATGATATTTTTACAATCTTACGTGAATGAAGAATGCACTTTGCACTTTGCTGCTGGCGAGTACAACAAAAACTTGCGGGTGATCTATTGCCCTGGACAGCTAGCCATGACGCAAAATTGGCTGGTCGCTCAACAATCACCTACATTAATCAGCTATGTTATGACACAGGATAGCGCCCTAATGACCTTCTGACGTTGATTCAGGACCGTGATAGACTCGTGAATGTCCGAGCTAGCACGACCGAGAGTATATTATATAAAAAATAAATATTTAGTTTGCTGAGGCAATAAAATGTTTTTGTTAGCAGTAAAATACTGTTTGTAATTTCATTCATATCTCCAATTCGGGAAAGCTCCTATGCGGCCACAATATTATCTCTGGCAAATAAATATACAGTGCGCGATGGATAAATTTAAATTACGCAAAAGTGAAAATAAAACTGACATCTCATTTTAACAGGTATACTTTCCGAAATTACACAAAAATATCTCGGAATACTAAAGAGTAAATTTATTAAAAAAAATCGCCAATGGCTTCAAACATGACGTTGCCATAATCTTTGCCTTCAGATCATCTTTGGTGTTACAAAGAATTTTCTTGATCCCTCGCTCAGCTACGCCCTACAAATAATAATCAAAGGGGTTGCAGTCTGGGGAGTTAGGTCAGCGGATGTAAGGGATGATATGGTCGCAGAAATTGTCTGACAGCCATGACTGGGTTTTCCTGTTTGTATGGCATGGTGAAGAGACCTGTTGCCAGACATAGGGTCTTCAAGCAGCCACCCCCTTAACTCAGGGCAGCAGTACTTCCTCAAGTCACTTGATGTAGGCCTCCATGTTGAGTCGGTGGCCCTGAAGTAAGATGGATGGAGGCATAACGTCGCCGTCACTCATGATCATTCTAAACACCATGATGTTGACTGGATATATCATCCAACTCTTTCTGAATCCTCTGCACTGTCCTCACATTGACACTCAAACACTCTGAAATGTTCGTATTGGAACTTCAGGTGCGAATGCCAAGCAGTACAGCATGCCGTTTCCAAATTTCTGGCGGATTGAATTGCGTCATGATGCTCTTTTTCACACCGACCCTACTATACTGTGCGATCGACAAAAATAAAAAAAAGTCAACACGCATGCGCGAAATTAAAAAAAAAAATAAAATGGCGACAATGTACCCATCGCAACCTGTAGATACGAATCAACCAATACTGCTTCATGCCTTTTACTCTAGTCTCTCTTTGTTACATTGATTGGTTCATTTTCTATGCTGATCAATCTTTTGTTGGTTATTTAAAGCCAGAAAATATTTTTAGGTTGTACGAATTTTGGGGGGAATGGTGATAATAATGATTTAGTGATACAAGACTTACTGTTTAACCCATAGCTTGGAGGAGAAAAGGTTCATTCACTCGCATATACCCTTTCTCAAGGGTATTTGCGCGTGAGTGACTATAACGAACCCAGATGTTATTGGAACTCGACTCTCCGACTAACAATTTCGAGCCATTATCCAATACACCACCTGCACATCCAAGCTTACAGCGCCTAGTATTCCCAAGCGGTCACCCATCTAGGTACTGACCAGGTTCGACGTGGCTTAACTTCGGTATGGGAACCGCTGTTTCAATGAGATGTTTGCGTAAGCTTTGTTACATATTATACGCATGGAAGTAGCGGAGTGAAATAAAATGTAATTTTAAATAAGAGAGGCTATTCCTTTATTTCTTTACATAAGATTTAAAACCAACCAAAAATTGGCACATAGATGATGTCTGCTACACTTGGCTATCTTTGTTATATCTACTATACGCATGGATTATTCTAGGAAGAATAATCTCTAAATGACTTGTTATATTAATATCTGTATCTATAAAAGGCAGGATGTGTGTGCGTGTGTGTGTGTGTAACGAATGCACGGCCACAATTTTCGACGGATTTGCACCAAAATTTACATGCACATGCTCCAAGTTAGCGGGAAGACCTAGACCGACTTTGCATTTCCCAACTCCCATCGATAGTGGAAATAATCGATTTTTTTATGCTTCTACGGCAGTTTTCATGTAGTTTGCGGCCATTTTCTACTGGCCAGAGTGAGAGCCTATAGCTGGCTGCCACGAATAGGCAAGGGAGATTCTATTGGCCAGCGTGAGAGCCAACAGCTGACTGACACAAATGTTAACTAGCATGCTAGCATTCAAAAAAAAATCGATAGCTGCATTCGTCACAAGTGGGAAAAATTTAAATCTGCATGGCACTTTACTCCAATTGGCTCATTCGCTTGCTTAAACTCAACGTTGATTCTGATTCCGCAGAACTGGGTTGGGTGTGAAAAAGTATTTGTTGTTAACATTCTTTTTTCATTCGGTTTTTCCAGTTACAAGTCCTTTTTTAAAGCTGATCGTTTTGTGTTCATTTTGTTTAGTTCTATTTTCGTAACAGATTTAATGTTTAGTATAGAGCTTAGAAAAAATTTGCAGTGTGAGAAGAAGAAGAAGTGAGGCATGTAGCAACATCAGCATGGCAAAGGACACTCCTTTAAAGGCAAGGAAGGGCAAAAATATTTTAAGTCAAGTGATAGCGATTGCTGTATGAGTCGTACGATTTTTGAATCAAGCACGGGCAACGCCGGGCCATGCTGCTAGTTTTAAATATAACTCCATGACAAGGTCTCCAGTTGATCGGCTCTGGGTATCAAAATACCTGGGTAGCTCGGTCATTAGAAAGTGAGCCTCTTTTAATGATTTATGCAGGATTGCCAAATATTACATCGCTTCAGTTTTATATCAGAAAGCATATAAACTTGCCCATTCTTGCTTATGTAATGATTGTAAAATATCTACATAAAATACTTCTTCTTTATGTGCCGTGTTGATGTGGGCGATCATGGCGCACTTGTGTTTGTCATTTTACTATCTCCCACAACTTTTTCTTCAATCCATCCATTAGGTAGGTAACTTAATCTTTCATTCCGTTCCTCTTCCCTGTGAGTGTCTAATTCTCCAAGTTTTCTTTCCTCGTTAAATTTCTAACTGTGCCTTTCTGATTCTAAGTATACGCGTTCTTTTTGCTTCAGTTTTCCTTAAAACTTACTCTTTGCTCTGATATTTCAAATCGGCACCCATCTAGATACTGACTAAGCTTGACGTTGCTTAACCTCGATGATCGCACGGAAAACGGTGTTTCAACGTGATGTGGCCGCAAGCAATCTTTGCTACAAATCATACGCATGGAATTGCTGAACCGAAATAAAATGTAATTTTAAATAACAGTGACTATACATTTATTTCTTTACATGAGAAAAAAAATCGATATTCGATATTTATTAAGAAAGTATTCATCATATGTCTGAATACAGGGTGGATCAAAAGTAGGTTTACAGTCGTTTCACTAATTGATTCACATTTTGGATCTAACTTCACCAAACTATTTCTTCAGCAAGATGCAGTACCTCCCCATTATGCTTTGGCAGTAAGGGATTACCTTAACCAAACCTTTCCACAGCATTGGTTTTCTAAGAAGGAGAAACACTGAATAGCCACCATGTTCACCTGACCAAACACCAACGGATTTCTTTTTTTGGGTGGATATAGTAAAGAACAAACCTTATGGGAGAAATCCCCACAGAGTGGACGAATTAAAAGAGTACATCCCAGAAGTATTTATTGAAATTGTTGCAGATCGGAATTTGTGTCGTGCTGTGTTCTGGAGAGGTTCGAGGAACGTTGCAATGTTGAAGGAGGACATTTTGAGATTAAACTCTGCTAAAAATATAAGTAAAGTATTAAACAAATGTACATAAACAGTTTTGAACAAATAGGATTGTAACAAATAAATATAAATACAATAAAATGTTTGAAAAAAATGTAAAGTGCATATCTAGAAAGTTTAAGCGTACTTTTGGCCCATCCTATATAGTCTCAGAATTCTCATTATTATACACACTCTTACTTCATTCTCCTTTTGATCGTCATATTTACGCCATTATATATTTTGTCTTTTCTCAGATGTCAGTGTTCTTATTCTACGGCTATTCATCATATATCTAAATACAGGGTGGATCAAAACTAGGCTTACAGTTGTTTCACTATTTCTCTCACGTTTTAGATCTAACTTCGCCGAACTGTTCCTTTAGCAAGATGTAGCACCTCCACCCCCCCATTATGCCTCGTCAGTAAAGGATTACCTTAACCAAACCTTTCCGCAGAGTTGGTCCGGAAGAAGTGGCAACATCGAATGGCTACCACGTTCACCTGAGCTAACATTAACGCATTTCTTTTTTGGTTGGGTGTTGTAAAAAACAAGGTTTATTAGAGAAATATCAAGACAATGGTCGAATTAAAAGAGTACATCTCAGAATTTATTAAACATGTCTAATTTCTGATGTCAATTTGAATATTATATATTAATAATTTAGACAGAACTAAACAAACTTTTTAATAAATTAATATAGTATTTAATAATATTTCAAATATTAAAGATGTTTCAAAGAAACTAAATTCTATATTATTGTATGGGGTGGGCGAAAAGTAAGCATACAGTCGTTTCACTATTTGTTTCACATTTTAGATCTAACTTCACCAAACTGTTCTTTCAGCAAGATGCAGTACCTCTCAATTATCCTTTGGCAGTAAGGGATTACCTTAACCAAACTTTCCCACAGCATTGCTTTGGAAGAAAGGGAAGCACTGAATAGCCACCATGTTCACCTGATCTAACACCAAAGGATTTCTTTTGATGGGGTGTAGTAAAGAACAAAGTTTATGAGATAAATCCCCACAGAGTGAACGAATTAAAAGACTACATCTCAGGAGTATTTATTGAAATTGATGCAGTTCGGAATTTGTGTCGTGCTGTGTGTCATTGTGTTCTGGAGAGGTTCGAGGAATGTTGCAATGTTGAGGGAGGACATTTTGAGCACTTAAGAGATTAAACTGTGCTAAAAAAATGTAAGTAAAGTGTTAAACAAATGTACATAAACAGTTTTGAACAAATATGATTGTTACAAATAAATATGAATGTAAAATAAATGTTTTTAAAAAATGTAAAGTGCATGCCTACTAAGTGTAAGCCTATTTTTGGTCCACTAAATTGCTCAATTTTGAAAATTTCATTGATACGTCCAAAAACCATTCTAAAACTGTCAAAACGAATTTTTCTCAAAGACGAGAACAAACAACGTTATGGGCGAATCGATGGGAATCAAAACTATAAACCGTTCCCTGATATTCTATATCCGAATTCTCACATGAAACCAAAGCTCTTGAATTTCATCGAATGATTATGATTTTATAATGTTCTTTTAAGTAAAATAAAAGCCAGGGCAACGTTTCAAATGACTAAGACATTTAATACGAATCGAAATAACTTGACACCGAGAGAAAATCGAGAGTTAAGTGCACATTAAATACAACTCAGACATAAAACTTTACTTGTGTAGAAATATTAATTTCCACTTTAAAATACGTTAAAACTTATCAGGTGACAAATAGTAAGCTCAATGGTAAAATCTGAGGAAATAAACTAAAAGCAGAAAACAAATCAACATTCAACAGCTTTTGATGTCGGCCTCCGTGTCGAGTCTGAGACCCTGTGGGAAGATTTTAAACACCCTATTTTTGTGTAAATTAATTTTCTATCCAACTGTAACTAGCATCTTGGGATATCCCTCTTGCTGACAACCATGCATTTTGTCTTCTTACGACTGATAGGTGGTCCTTTTTTTATCGCTGTAAATGCTGAATAAATTCGGTGAGGAGGCCCACCCTTGTCTTATACAGCGTTTCTATTTTTGCCTACAGACTCAATTCATTTTCTATCCGTATGCAGGTGGTTTACCCGCCAAGTATAAGTTCTGGATAACGCTAATATCCTTCCCAAATAAATCAAGTTTCCCTAGCAGTTCAAATAGATCTTTGGGTCGGGTTACACAAATGCTTTTGTGTAATCTATGAAGCATAATGATACACACATGTAGTTATACATATTTTATGTTATAATACATAATGGTGCATTTATTTGTATTGCTAACTCTGAGAAAAAGAAACAACTAAATTCTCCTTTTGTTTCTAACGAAATAGCATACAAGAGAACTGGACAATAAAAGAGCTGCCCGTGCAAAACTAGTGTCAACGGATTAAAAAAAATATTAAACATGCTACCAGTGACGTGCGGAGGTTTGGTGATGTTTGGTGATGTCCGGTGCCAAACCCTTGATTGTAAACCCCCTAAGACCTAAGTAGGGGTTGCTATAGGGCCAAGTACTGAGAAATATGACAAAGGAAGACATTTTAAACATGTAAAAACAAATGAAACACGAAATAAACACTTTATTCAAATAAAATATAAATCAAATTTTTATTTCACTTTTTCATTGGATGCACCCCTCCCACTGATATGTATACCCGGAGCCTTCCCACCCTCTGCCCCCCACCTTTCTTCACGCTACTGCATTGTACAGAGTTCACCTGCCAGATGGTTTTAATTAATAAAGGAAGGCGAAGTTTTCTTTGTTCGTTTTATTTCCCCAGTTTTCATCACTAAGTTTAGCATTCGATGCCATATATTGTTTTAAGGTATTTGAAAGTAGAAACTAATATTCCCACCAGCCATTGTGTGCGTGTATGTGAGT